GGGTATTCGAAGTCAACCGAATTAGTGACAGAATCACGGGCGTTAAGCTGACTTTGGAAAGTAGCATCTCAAATACAATTGGCGCTTGCGGCTCTCAGACTAGCCAGAATGAAGCCGAAAAGGGTGATATTTTGTGAGAACCTAGACTTAGCACTGAAAAACATAACGCGAGACAAACAAATGAGAATCCGGAGTGACCTTAACGAACACGTTGTGAAGCATAGAAGGGAATACGACATTATCCGTATCCGGATCCAGAAGACAGTTACATATGATTAGGCTGCGAAAAATACACATTCTTCCAAAAAAAAGAAAGCCACCTGCTAATTCACAAGAGCGCGTTTTTCCGCTCTGAAGGAACGAGCTGAAGAACAACAAAGATTGCAAGGTTATCCCTGAGGAAACTGCCACAAACAAACATCAGATGTTGGTCCTTGACTTCTCTCATAGACAATCTGCTCAGGCGATGGACATGGCGACAGCCCCGATGAAACAATGATGGATACTCGGAGAGCAGCTGAATGAAGTTCTAAAGATGAAAGTTACAACAAAAGTTACGAAGGAAAACTGGGGAGGAAATAAAACGAAATAGCGGATGGCCGACATAATCATGTTGAATGCCAAAGGTTTAGTCGGAGAAACAGAAGGCACAACACGTATCCAGAAAGAAACATGATAGTAGAATATGGGCATGAAGGCCACCTTGCGACATAGGAAACAATCGTTTGAGGCATGTTAGCTATCATATAGCGTGGAAGACAGTAAAATATACGATTACCAAGTGGTAGGCAAAATAAGGTCATCATCGAAACAAAGTCTATGGCACGTAATGACCTCTATGAAAAATTGGCAACGAGTGGAAAAAACATTTATTGTATAGCAAAAACGAGAGAAATAAAATCAAGAGACGTCGGTATAGTGAAATGCATAAAAGCGGTGCTGGGTGACGAGAAAAGTATTTTCAATCGATGGCAAAGACACTTCCAAACACTACCAAATGAAAAATATCCCGGGTAGGCAGCGGAAGAGTTCCCACAAAATCAGAGTCTCACCTGATGAAATGGAACAAGCTTTGATCAGAATGAAAAATAAATAGGCGTCTGAGTCCTGACGGAGTTCCCATAGATGCCTGGTCAGCACTGGTTAAAAAGGCATTGTTTGGTTCGGCGCTCTATTCAAGAAAATTGTGGAATGTGAAAAAATGCCGGAATCATGAAGGCAGGGTGTTTTGATGCCAATGTACAAAATGAAACCGATATGCTTGCCTGTGGAAACTTCTTGAACTGAAATTGCTCAGTCATACAAAGAAACTATGCCAGAAGACTTAGGATGGAGGCGACATCACTGTGAACCTGTATGGCTTTTTTTCAGGCCGGTCAATAACAGATTGCGTCTTCGTTTTAAAGTCGGTAGAAAGTCGGTAGTTAGAATGCACGTAAGTATTAAAAGCATTCGGTAGTGGTTAAAAAGCATTAGACCGTACGCATTTGCTAAACATTTTTCTCAAATAATGTTAATTTCTATTGCATATACCGCAACTTTCAAGTCGTTTTGTATAAACATTTGATTCTTGATCAACCGGGCATTTGACAACCAAAAGTTGTGCCAGGGACATTCCACTTCACCAACATCTGCCTTTATCCATCCACTGCTGGAACAAGGCCTTTTCAAGATCCCGCGACTCTTTTCCACTTCTTCCCAACAGATCCGTATATTTTGTGTTGATATCCGTCTGGAACTGTTAGCATGACCATTTACTACCATTTATAACTTTATTTTCTCTTCGGACCAGCGACGGTCCGTTCTTCTCATTGCATTTCGATGCAATTCTAGTTGTGTTTCTGACTCATGTATAGCACTGGAAGCCGTCAATTTGGCACTATGGCATTATTTGTTTCCTTATTTCTTGTCGTAATCCAACCATACAGCTTTCTACGCTGTAATAGGCTCGCATCACAATCACTATTTTAAAATCTATTGAATTAAAAACGCTCATGAGTTTTTTAATTCGTTGCTACATTTGGCCATCAGATGGAACACTGTTGGAGTATAATTAGTTCCTTTGCATGTTCAGAAAATAAACTTGACGCAAATTCTACAGTTCCTTCTTCCAATCGATTTCTTTGGCGATGTTTTTGAAAATGCATCTTTAATTTTATCATACCATTC